CCCCGCTGAGGCGAGGTGTTTAAACTTACTCTGAAGGTGAAATCGCTTGTTCCAAATTACAGAGGTTCAGGTTTCGAGTTTATGAAGGTGAGGGTTTTGCTCAGTATTGCCCAAATTTATTAATGGGCTTTTGATCAAGTGTAGAATAATTAATTCCTTACTCTGTAACAGCAAACACTTCCAGTTTGTGAGGTCGGGAGCACCGATGTGACAGTTCTTTGCTTAAACTTCTTCTTTTAAGGGGGAGCCTCTGTTTTCTGATAACATAAACAACACTTCAAGTGGGAGCTGGGGTCCGTGGTCCTTTTGCAGTGACACCAAGGCTACGATTTCAAAGGTTGCAGAATATTAACGTGTCGCATCTCCCGTACAGCGTTCGTGATTTACGATGGTTTCTATTAAGCCAAGCGATTGTGCGTACTGAAACACAAGACACTAGAAAAACAAGCCCCGGGATGAAGCTGCATTTTTAAGAGTTGCTTGCTGGCTTTCCCGCTAGGGAGGGAAGAGCAGCGGGAGTGAAGAGCATTCTTGTTAGGTGTGATTATCCTAAATTACTTTTATGTGTAGAAAAATATTATGCAACCTTTAGAGTTGCATGCTTGATCACTAGCAGCAGCTTAACGTTATCTGGCTTTTGTACCGCGCTTTTGGCAGATTAGAAAAATTCTGGCTGGGTTGCAGCCCTAGAGTAAAGATGAGTGTCGAAGTAGCTCAGAAGGTGACTTTGGGTGAAGTTTCTCCTGGTTTCATCAACAGAGCGAGAGTTGCTGTTGCTCCCTCGTAGCGCCCTGCTCACTCAGCCAGATCCATCGTCCAAGGAGCGTGTTCCCTTCAGCTCCCAGCTCACTGGGCTTGGTGTGAAGTCACCCTCTGTGGTGGCCAGGGCCACCGCACGGGCAAAGCGTGTGTGGAACAAACTGGAAGCGGAAGACGAAGCTCATTCTTGCAGGGCACTTTGAGCTGTGCCAAAAACCATGGCTTGGGCTTGGCAGCTTGGTTAAAGTGAAGAGGTTACAGCCACGTCTGCTGTAGTAGTGCGTTTTCCTGGTCAGAATAGAAGCAAAATTGTGTATGTGTTTTGGATATGAATGATGATGGGAATCTGAACGATAGCAAAAAGTTTCACTGATTTTTGTTTTTTTTTTTTGGCTAGGGAATACTTTTATTCTTTAAGCAAAAAGTTTTGGGGGGACCACGCGGTGAAGGTGTTTTCCTTGGTCAGGTTACAGGTGCATTATAAATCTTCCTTAATTTGTTGTTAAGATTTAGAAATCATTAGTAAAAGCAGTGTATTGGGTAAAATAAGATTTTTTTTTTCTTTTAGTGTGTTAAACTGGATACTCTGCTTAATGCAGCGTTGAAATTCATAGTACAGGAAGCCAGCTGTTTTGATATTGATAGGAATTTGGCATTTGTAATAGTCTTGTGGCATGTTGAATGAGCTGTCAGTCTTTTAAATGCATTCTGTCTCAGAAGCGGTTCGCTTCTCTTGAAGCATGTTACATCCGAATAAGTTTGCCACGTTTGACAGTGGTGTCACCTGTAGCACTTTGTTTACTCTCAAGCTTAGCTGCAGCTTTAGCTCCTTTACGGTCTCTAGGCCTTAATCTCTGGAAACAGTTTTAGGAGTGAGAGGAAATGTCATATTGAGTCTTTTTTCTATCACTTAAACAAAAAACCAAAAAAAACCAACAGAAAACACCCACCGTTTTGATGGGGAAGATTTGAAGGGTGGATATTTGTCTGCCTTAGGTTAGCCGGAGCCCATTACCAGATACCAGTGTGTGGGGGGGTGTTGCTGTTAGGAACCTTCCTTTCCCTGAGCCACCACTGTGCGTGTCCACACTGCACTGGTTTTGTGAACTGGTCAGCTGTCCCGGGAATGGGAGGGATACCAGCAGTTCCCATTTGATGCTTCACTTGTTCACCTGGTGACAAACTGTGGACAGCTCTGTTTTTAATTGATTTGTTTTCAGTGTAGGTGCTGTATTTCATGGTTATAGTCGTAACACGTGTAACTTGCATCAAAGATACTGTTGAACTTAAATCACATTCCTTTTCTGGTTTTCTTCTCTTTCATGATTTATTATCTTTCTAAATCTGCTTTATTACATACATTTATCATTCTTTAAACCTTATTCCAGTTTTATTCACCTTCTCCCTCATGCTCCCTTTCTAAGCATCCCTCCTGGTGGGCAACGAGAAAATGCATCTTGAAGGTGTGATTTTTATTTGCATATATGGGTGATATTTTAATTTACATATGCATAAGAGAGTTGCCAAATTGTAGTGTTTTCTCGCTTTGTTTTGTGAAGTTGGGTTTGAGAATACTGATTAAATATGAAACTGATTTTCATATTTTCAGGAAACATTTGAGTCTTGAGCAGAAGGCTTCTGTGCAGAGCTAGGAACTGACTATGAATTTAATCTATTTTGGTAATTAGAGGGGAGAAAAAGAGTAATGTCTTCCATCCAGAACAATTATAAATCACTTGCAGATGG